AGCCTTCCTGTTCCTCTGATGCTGCTTGGCCTGCTGCGTTCATCCAGGTCTACACCTTGTTATCTCTTCATCATACAGGTACCTTCTTCAGACAATCATCATAAAGAAGTTTTACACAACATTCCTTGCATTGCTAGACATGAGGAACACAACACACCTCTAATAGTGTATTGCAACAGGGTGGGCATTAGAAAACCATGGTTTCAAATGTGAGGTTAGAGTGGTTGCACAAAATGGGACACCAAGGAGAAGAAACGTTATCGGCCTACGGAACAGGCTGATGTTTGGTTTAGCGATGAGGCAAACCACCACCTCAACAGTCTTGGCAGAGAATGGCAACCTAAGCTGTTAAACATTAACTTCCCCAAATACAGTGCAATAAAGAATGTGATAATAAGTTTTCAGCAAGATTTCTGAGTCACCAGGGTCCCCTGCTCAGATCACTTATTTTGCACATATTATAATCTGCCACATTGCAAAAAATATCAAAATCCTTTCAGTATTTACATCACATATGCATAAATCATGATGTGTTCTCTACACATGTGGTCAGCCTTTGCCTGAATATGCTGTTTAAATGCCCACTTGTATTTTTCCACTTGTCATAGGCAGAGGTATTCGCTATTACCAAGATATCTCAGGATCCTTTGCACCAGTGTTATCTTTAAAACCCAGGTGTACACCTAGTCAAACACTGGCAGTCTAGAGCTTCCCTTCACTATGCACGTGCTGGAGGGGCAAACAAAAACAAACACTTCTCAGGGCACATAGGTGGCATGGCTGACACTCCATGGTACACAAAAGTGAAAATTTATTGAGGGAAAGATTACAGAAAGATAACAGGGCAAGTGAACTCAGAGGATAGAAAACTTGATGAGCTGAGATGAAGGTTGAAATCATGGGGGATATATTGCTTGGTGTAAAGGTTAATGGTGTTGCCTAACATTCTTCTTATTGTTCGATGTGGGACTATCATATGTCAGAAAGGCTTCATCAGTTCACAACATTCACTTTTATTCAACGACAGGAAAAGTGAACAAAAAGCAAACAAGCAGTAGCTTGCATTTAACTTGTCAGAACAGACAGGGACTGCTTGACTTTCAAGCACCAAAAAAGTTTGCAGCAAAGCATAATCATTGCATGCATCTTGGACCTGCTGGAACTGAGTGTCAATTCAGCCCTGACTGGGTTGTTGTGCTGATGTGATAGCAATTTGTCATGCAAAAATTAATGTTCCTCCCACTCAATGTTCTCGTCTTTCTCCTCAGAAGATTGCTGTCATTTTCCAGCTCTTCAGACACCATTATGTCACCTTGTTGCCTGCTCCAGTTTTGTAGAGCTCAACATGCTAGTATTATTTAATATAGTCTGTCTAGAGTGTACTGCAAGATGTCCCATATTCATCCAAACATCAGAACCTTAAAACAGAGGCCTATCTTCTGTTCCGCTATCTCCTGGTCAACCAAAGGGCTGTATTGTATCCCAGCTTGCCCAATTTAGCAGGTTGCATAATGGAGTCATTAGCTATGATTGGACAGAGTAACCCTTGTCTCCCAATAATCATCCTTGTAAAGAATTTGTCCCTTGAAACAATGCAGGAACATGAGAGTTCTCAAAGATATAGACAGTATGGCAGCCAGCATACCTGTTGCAGACCTCTAAGATGTGGTACCAATGATTACAGATGACTTGTACATTGATGGAATGGAACCCTTTTCTGTTGATGGACTTAGCTACATTATGCTACAGCCCTTTTAATGCAACGTGTGTGCAGTCCTGTGCCGGAGGAAGCCAGTAATATTGTCAAAACCTACTGCACTGACCTTGTCATAGAGAAATGAAATGAAGCAGTATGATTCAGTTTAAAATGCATTGATACAGTCTTCATTCATTTGTGGGTTGAGGATTGAAAGATCCCACACAGATCTCTAAAAGTGTCCCAGACATCCTCAGTCTGCAGTGATATGATATCTGGTCATATAATCATTGAGTTTTTACAGCAAGAAAGAGGCCCTTCACCTATTGTGTCCATGCTGGACATTAAATATCCATCTATCCTAATGTCACTTTCCAGCACTTAGCCCTGTAGCCTTGTAAGCTATGCCATTTTAAGTGCTCATCTAAACAGTTCTTATGTGTCCTAAGGGTTCCTGCCTCTACCATCCTTTTAGGCAGTCAGTTCCTGACACCCACAACCGTCTGGTTGAAAATAAATCCTTAAATCTCCTTTAAACTTCTTTTCCTTACATTAAAATAGTTGCCTCTGGTTATCGACTTCTCTATTAAGGGGCAAGTGTCCTCCTATCTATCCTGTCTGTAGCCCTCAGAAGTTGCTGGAAAAGATCAGCAGGTCTGGCAGCATCTGTGAAGAAAAAATCAGACGTAACATTTCGGCTCTGGTGACCCTTCCTCAGAATTACAGCATCTGCAGTTCTTTTGGTTTTTATTTCCCCTCAGAACATTGTACAGTCAATCAGTTCCTTGCTCAGCTTTGTCTACTTTAAGGAAAACAATCCCAGCCTACCTAGCCATTCTCCATAGTTGAATCACTGCAGTCCAGGCAACACTCTGGTGAATCTCCTCTCCACTGTCTCTAGTGTATTCACATCCTTCCTCTAGCGTGGCAACCAGAATTGCAAATGGTGCTGTGGCTGTGGCCTAGCGAATGTAAAACAGCTCCATCATATCCTCCTTGCTGTTCTATTCAATGCATTGACTAATATAGGCAAAAATCCAATTTTCCTTCTTAATCACCTTATTTACCTATACTGCTGTCTCTAGGAATCTATGGACAAGCACACCAATGTCCTGCTGATCCTCTGTACTTCCTAGGTTCCTACCATACAATGTGTACTCCTTTGCCTTGCTTGTCTTCTCTAAATGCATCACCTCACAATTTTCTTAATTACATTCCATTTGCCATTGTTCAGTCCATCTGACAAGTCCTCTGTATTGTCCTGTAATCTAAGGCTTTTGTCCTTGCTATTTACCACATCAGCAATTTTTATGTCATCCGCAAATTCACAAGGGTATCTCCTCCATTCATATCTAGATCATTAGTATACACATCAGCAGCAAGGGACCCAGCACCAAACCCTATGGTGCAGCACTGGACATAGGCTTTCAGTCAGGAAAACACCTTTTTACCATTTCCTTCTCTTTCCTGCCATTAAACCAATTTTGGACCTATTTGCCAAATTGGCTATTCTTCATGTATAAATCTTGTCAAAAAGTGGAGGACAATCTGGTGAATCTGTTTCTTTATCTGGTATTCATTCACACTTCTGCACATGGTCATTGTAGTGATCATTTACACCCATTTCCAACCCCAACTCCCTCCATGAAGCCACCATAATCCCACAGGACCACAGGGCTGCTCCCTCATTATAAAGAGATGACTGGTGGTGAAATTAACCTGAGGGCCACCAAAACTTAGGTGAGAGTCAAGGTTGAGGGACTTTTGTGGTAACCTCAGCCAGTACAGGAATTGAACCTGAGGTATTGGCAGAACTCTGCATTGCAAACCAGCTGCCAAGCCAACTAACTGAACACCCTTTGTCTAATCAAGAATACAAAGCTTGTTTTCCCTCAACCTAATCCAGGGACACTGGGACCAGTGCCTGTTGCTGCCCAATGTGAGATTTGGTAATGCTGCAGAAATGATCAGTATTAGATTGTACTGGGACTTAAATGTCTATTAATGCCACAAACTAATGTAAAAGTTTTTTTTAAACTTCATTTTCAAAGTATTATAGATGTTATTATTTACTAAATTACATATTCAGCTTGTTAAGTCACAATGCCTTTGTTTTTAGAAAGTATATAAAGTCCACAAGATGACAGCCACTTTTATATCCTTAGGATACCCCAAACGATTTTAAAATCAACAACTTGCTTTTCGGAGTGTAGTCAATATGTTTATATAAAGGAAGTGCAGCAATCAACTTGCACACAGTGAAGTCCTACAGACAGCAATTAAATAAATACATAAATTTATTTACTTTTGGGTCACTGTAAGTTAACTGCTCCTTGTTAAATTGTTCATCTTCGTGAACAAATTGATTGTGTCCCTCTCAGCTTTGTGGCTCAGTTGCAATATAAACCCTGCGGCAATACAGCATTTCACACAAGTGCATGAACCCCACTGGTTCTTGAACTATTGATTTTTATGTTTGGATCTGTCACTGGGGTGTGGTGGTGTAGACGGAAATTCAAACAGCAGTAAACATCATTACTGATGTTGCCAAATAAGTCAGTGAAGCGAAGAAAGCAAAAGCCTGAAGTAGCAGATCACTTCTTCTAGACCTTATTAGTTCAGAAATCTATTTAGCCACTGATTGTGTCAAAAGTTTTTCAGCATGGAAAAGGCCCTTCAGCCCATCGTGCACATGCCAGTCATCAAGAATCTATCTATTCTGATTCCATTTACCAGCACTTCACCGGTAGCCTTGCATGCCATGGCATTTGAAGTGCTCATTTAAATATTCCGAAATGTCTTGAGGGTTCTCTATCATCCATTTAACCAGCACTCCAATAATAGCCTCTGATAACCTCTCAATGCAAAAGCAAGTACACAAAGCAAACTTCCCTAAAACAGTTTTAGTTACTCAATGAGATAAAAGTAAAAGTTTGCCCTCCCAGAATTTATTTTTATACAAGTCAGAACATCCTGATCAATGGTTCTATTACAGTTCTGCAACATTTTTGTAGCAATGAAATGAATTAAGCAAAGTAAAGTTGCAAGATCATCAATTTATTAAAATTTGTATGTTCTAGCATTTGTCACTTGAGTATCTAAAGTTATTTTAAACATTAGGTAAAGACTTATGTACTGTTATGTTTGAAATATTGCTAATGGAGTCCTTCAAAAGCATCTTAGAATGTAAATTTCTGATACACACTCTTTAATCAAACAAGCCTCCAAACTGAGACGCATAATAACTCCGTGCGGTTTTAATGATTTCTTGAAACTTAATCATGGCAGTCCTGCCCAATTGAGGATGATCCCATCGTCATGTTTCAGTGTATCGGCTCCTCTACGTTGCAGATTCGTTTGGTATAACTCGTGAAAGTTACGAAGAGAACAAATAAACTATCTTAGTAGAAAGTGACGGCAGAAATTATAATGAATGATAACTGAAACTCGAGATATCTTGACTTGCTGTTTCTTCTAATCATGCCGTCTACCCATTACCGCGGTATAGGGCAAACACCGACAAGCGATGCCGCGTGGGTAAAAGGTGAAAATCATTATTTATGCTGTAAATGATGCCGGATACGCTGTAGGATTAAATAGACAATTATACTCTGGTGCCTACATCGGGAAGGTGTGCATTATTTACTAAGATTGGTAGCGTTTGCTGATTAAATGAAATAATATGTATCAAGTTAAGCTGTGTGTGTTGCTGCAAATGCATCTTCTATTTTGTTTATGGTGACGTGGAGAATAAATCGAATTGGCCCAACGGAGATCAGCTGCTTCACTCTTTGAGCACCATTCGCTTCCAAAGGTCTCCTTTGCTGAGTCCAATCGTACAGCAGGCCAGCCTTCTCCCAGAGTTTCCACTTTCGAGACTTCCCGGGTTCCCTCCGAGCCCCAAGTCATCTTTGCCCTCATGGACCACCACGCCGCGGCCCAGGATGGTGTGAACTCCGTACAGGTTCGCCTTCAGTTTCGTGAGAAACTTGGTGATCCTGCCGTTCCTCACCTTGAAGTTGTGGAAGTCCCCGGGGTGGTTCGGGTGGTCCACGCCGAACGGGTTGAAGTGGGGTCCGGTGCTCATGCAGCCGCCGCTCAAGTCCCCGAACTGGTGGACGTGGATCGCTCGCTCGGACTGCGAGTCATTCAGCGGGAAGCCTTGCAGGTCGAAATACGCCTCCAGGTTGCGACCAGGGACCTTTTGGTAGAAGAGGATTGTGCCGCTGATAGCGGGCTGATCGGCGCTCAGGTCAGAGCTGGGTTGTATGTTACAGACGGCGAAGATCCCGGGCATGTTCTGACGCATTGTAGGTCTCAGCTTCAGCCAGGTGCCTCTGATCTGGTCTGCCATCCCAGCAATTGCCTTGGCGTTGAAATAGCCCAGGGCCTGGGGCACTTGCAGTGCGAGGGTCCCGGTCAGCAGCAGCAATTGTAGCCCTGAACCGTACAGGTTTCCGGTCCCGTTCAAGCCTTTCATGTTCTGACCTCGGCGATAGAGGGTTCTGAGGCCAGGCTTGCTGTGTGTGAGGGTGAATAAGTTGTTCTCCGCACTGTCTCACCCAGGCAATAAATATAGGAGTAACTTCAAAAGTTACACAACCAGGGAAAACACGTCAGCTCGCCAGCTCCAGCAGTCCCTCCCATCAGCTCGAACCTGACAGCTCACTTTCTGCTGGTGGATCCTAAACCAAATCCAACCAAGTACCTATGTTGCAGTTTTCCAGGAACATTTTACAGGAGAGTTTGGAGAGGTGAAAGCCCTCTAGAGATAACCGTGGTTTGTTAAAGCAAGGAAAACAGGCAAACTATCAAGACAACTCCTTCACAAATAGGCAGATACACGATCCGTTATTTACGTAAAAAAAACATTCACGTTAGAAACATTTGGGGCGGCCCGGTGGCTCACAACACCAGATATCTGAGTTCGATTCCAGCCTCAGGTGACTGTATGGAGTTTGCACTTTCTCCATGTGTCTGCGTGGGTTTCCTCCGCGTGCTCCGGTTTCCTCCCACAGTCCAAAGATGTGCAGGTTAGGTGGATTGGCCGTGCTAAATTGCCCGTAGTGTTCAGGGATGTGTAGGTTAGGTGGTTTATAGCGGGGTGGGATGCTTTAAGGGTCGGTGCCGAAGGGCCTGTTTCCACACTGTAGGTATTCTATGAAAAGCGGCGCACACGTTGGAAACTAAAATTATTGGAATCGTTTTCATTTTCCATTTCCCTGAGGAGGCGATCAGGAGGGTATAAATCTCACAAACCAAATACTCCCATTGTAAAGGGTCACTAAACTCCAAATCAAAACAAATACGGGTTTACTTATGAAATTAAGTGAGCATTATTTTGTATTGCTAATGCACTCCCGTCGCAAGAATACTTAGACGTTTCACCGTTGGGCGATTAACTGGCGGAGCATATTAAAGGTGCCTGGGATGTCTCGCCCTCATTGTCCTCACTGTCAGCCCGAGACTGGGATCGGACAGTGGTGCATCCTTATCCTCACTGCCTTATGTCAATACAAGAACACAGCAATACCATCACCAGTTGCTGCATTAGGAGCGCCATAGGTGTTAAACACATATAGCGTACTATTTTAAAATGCTTCTTAAATATATTTATTATACACAATTTCATCTAGAAATCAAGCTGAATGGATGGTCGGAATGTGTGTGGCAAGGAAATCAGGGAAACGTTTCAGGCCTGTAGGAAGGAAGGACTGAGGGCAGTTATCAACTGGGGGAATCTATGGTTGGGTCACCAACGGTTGTTACAAAGTAATAAGCGGATTATAAAATCATTTAGTAGTTTTAACTTTTTAATAATTCGCCTGAAGTTCAAACATACGTGAAATACATTTTGCTGTTCTTCACTTTTCAATGCTTAATGACCCCGATTCACTCACAAATAACACCGAATTGGATTTGCATACAATAGCCGGCCCCAAGAATATTTAACGCAGAAAACTGCCATCACAGCGTCATCTATAGACGTAAGAATAGCTGCAAATAAATGTGAGGGACTTTTATAATGGAGTTCGGATGGCTCAGGAGCTTTCAGTGCATTTTGTAATAAAATAGTGGCCTGCTCATTCAAATATAAAATAGATGTTCTTTCAGCTATGTATTTTGTTTTTATGTATCGCTTTTCTAAAGTTGAGCATAATCAAACTAAAATAAAAAGCGTAAAACCGTGCAAAGACAGATGGCAGGTTAGGACATTGAACAACATATTTAAAAACAAAAATTGAGCAAAAAATTAATGAGAGAAAAAATTAGAGTACCAGAAAAGCTAGCCAGAAATATAAAAAAGGTAAGAGCTTCTCTACATATTTTCTAAGACGAGTTAACAGTGGGTGTGTTGGTCCCGTAGAACATAAGAAATGGGAGCAGAACTAGGCCATTCTGTAAGATCATGGATGATCTACGCAAGCCCTCAACTCCTTGATATTTCAAAAATCTATCTACCTCTTTAAATGCTTCCATTGATCTAGTCTCCAAGGTATTCTGGGGTAGAGAAGTCCAGATATTCATCACCTTCTGAGAAATGAACTTTCTTTGCATTGTCGTTTATCTTTGCAACACCTACCTTGGGGTGGCATGGTGGCTCAGTGGTTAGAACTGCTGCCTCACAGTGCCAGAGACCCAGGTTTGATTCTACCCTCAGGTGACTAACTGTGTGGAGTTTGCACATTCTCCCTGAGCCTGCGTGGGTTTCCTCGCACTGTCCAAAGATGTGGATTGGCCATAGGAAATGCAGGGTTACAGGGATAGGGTGGGTCTGGGTGCAAGGCTCTTTGGAGGGTTGATGTGGACTTGATGGGCTGAATGGCCTACTTCCACACTGTAAGGATTGTATGATTCTAAGTTCCCTCAGAATCTTGTATGTTTGAATAAAATCGCCCTTCATTCTTCTAAATTCTAATGAATAAAGGCTTAACCTGTTTAATAGTTCTTGATAAGACAATCCCTTCACCTGAGGTATCAGCCTAGTGAATCACTTTTGACCAGCCTCCAATGTGACTATATCCTTTTTTAAATATGAAGCCCAAACAGTACCTAGTTCTCCAGGAGTACCCTCACCAGAACTCTGTAAAGTTGGAAAGACTTCACTATTTTTAACACCAACCATCAAGCAATGAACTCCAAAATTCCATTTACCTTCCTAATGACTTACTGCACCTGCATGTTTTTTGTTTCATGCACAAGAACACACAGATCACTGGGTGCTGCACTTTTTTGGGAGTCTCTCTCCACTTAAATAATAGCCTACCATCAAAGTGCATGGCCTCACACTTTCCTACATTAAGCTCTGTCAATTGTATTCTCCATTATTCAACCTATCCATATCCCTTGCAGATTCTTTATGTCTTCGTGACAACATCCTTCCCACCTATTTTTGTACATCAGCAAATTTGAATTATTACACTTTGACCCACCTCCAAATCATAAATGATAAATAATTGATGCTCTAGGACTGATTCTTGTTGTACTCTGCTAGTTATGTCATTCCAACTTGTAAAATACCAATTAATCCTGATTCTCTGTCTTCAGTGTGTTGACCAACTCTCAATCCATGCTGATAAATTATGCCCATTACGGTGTACTCCTATTTTGGCAATAATCTTTTATGTAGTACCTTATCAAATGCCTTTTGGAAATCCAAGCATCTACCTGTTTTCTTTTAACTCTGCTTGTTATAGCCTCAAAGTACTCTAGCAATTTTGTGAAACATGATTTCCCTTTCACAAAACCATATTGACTCTGATTCTATGAAGCTTTTCTAAATATCCTGTTATTTCTTCCTTAATAACAGACACTAACATATTCCCAATGACGGACATTATGCTAACTGGTCTGTAGTTTGCTGCTTTCTGTCTACTTTCCTTCTGTACAGTGATGTAACTAATTCATCTGAACCTTCCTGAAATTCAGTGTGTTCTGGAATATTAATGCCTTCATTATTTCTCTAGCCATTCCCTTTAAATCTTTGAATGTAGGCCATCAGCTCCTGGTCCTTCAGTTCCAATACTTTGTCAAATAGTTTCTCCCTTATGATAGAGAATATTACAAGACCTTACCCCCTATTAAGACCTTGCTTATCTGATAATGTTTGGGTGTTTTTCAGTGTTCAAGGATATTCAGTGTTCCTCCCTTTACTCCATTTTCTCAGTCCTCTTTAGACAACTCTTTCTTTATACATCTGTATAAAAGTTACTAAAGTTAAGGATCTGATTTGAAACCTGAGTTTCTCTCCTGCAAACTGCTTTTGAAATTCTATCATGTTTGATCATAACCCCTAAAAAGATTCTTAACTATGAGATCGCTTATTAATTCTACCTCATTATGCATTACTAGATCTAAAATACATGTTCCCAGGTAGGTTCTACAATGTACTGCTCTTAGAAACAGTCCCTGATGCACTCTACAAATTAAACTTCCATATTATTCCTTGTCCATCTGATTTGTCCAGTCATTATGCACACTAAAAGAACATATAAGGGCTCTTGTGGTGCAGTGGTAATGTCCTTACTCTAAGCCAGCAGGCCCAGGGTTCAAGTCCCACCTCCTCCACAGTTGTCGAATAACATTCCTGAACAGGATTGTATAAAAATATGTAAAAGAACCCACGATAATTGTAATGCCCTTCTTACACACCTCCACTCCTTCCTGATTATAATCTATCCTACAGTGAAGCAATTCTTCAATAGCCTATAGACAATTCCAAGACATTACTTCATTCCCTGTTACTCCTTATTTCCACTTAAACTAATTCTGCATCAGGATCTATTGCACCTATGCTACTACTCACCACCACACTTATACCTTGCTTTATGAACAACACGACGCCCACCTCCTTTTACTTTTTTGCCTATTTTTCCAGAACACTGAATATCCTTGAACACTGAGATCCTAGTCCTGGTCACCCTGCAACAACATCTCCATAATAACTGTCAAGTCATATTCATTTATTTCTATTTGTGTCACCATCTCACATATCTTGCTACAAATGCTCCAGGCATTCAGATAAATAGCCTTCATTTTTGACTTTTATTTTATTACTTATTCTGGTTGTAATTTCTGCACTACTCTTCCACTTACATTTTCTGCTGTGTCCTGTGGCACATTCACTTCTTCATTGCACTGTATCTCTGCTTTCTAGTTTTGTTTTGCTTTTTTACAACTTTTTTTCTTTTGATCCCACCTGACCACTAACTAGTTTAAACCCTAACTACACCCCTAGTTATATGATTTGCCGGGATACTGGTCCCAGCATGGTTCAAATGAATCATGGTCCCAATAGAAGAGATCTCTGTCTTTCCTCAGTACTGTTGCCAGTACCCCATGAATCAGAAGCCCATATCTGCCACATCAATCTTTGAGCCATGCGATTACCACTCTAATCTTATTAACCCTATGCCAATTTGCATGTGGCACAGTTAGCAATTCAAAGATTATTATCTTTGTGACTCTGTTTATTTTTAATTTAGCCCTCAGTCGGACCTCTTCTCTAGTCCTACCTATGTTGTTGATCTGGACCACGCCAAATGGATCTTTTTCCTTGCATTACAAGTTCTTCTCCAGCCTAGAAGAGATCTTGGTACTTGGTACACACAGTCTTTGGGATTCTG